AGGATATGAATTTCGTGAATCTCTCGATGACACAACTTCACCCCACAGTGAACAGGGCGCAACAGGTGTAGACAAAGAGGTTCCTGGAAAAACGATACCGGAGAGAGATACTGGAACGTCATTGTGTTACATCCATGCCTTGATCACCACTACCCTCTTACCTCATCCAGTCTGTGGCCACATACATTTGAAATCATACTAGCACTACTTAAGCTGACCTTAGCGCCTTTAGTACTCTAAGCTGGAAATAATGTGACTTAATCTGGTCAAATGTCCGTTTGGGAAATGAGACAAGAGTACCACGACTTTGGATATTGCACAAACGAGGTGGCATAATGCCTTTACGGATGAGCCTCGTTGGGCGATGTGCTATAGACCAACAACAAGGCGCCATTGGTGGGTCTGATTGCCAAGGTATTTATGCCGTCTCTAAAGCACCGTGTAATTTTAATGAATTTTATTCTTTTTCCACAACATTAGGAAAAATACCATGCATGCATTTGATTTCACACCTCGTAATCATGATTTCCACTTTGTCTTGGTACATGTGAGCCAGCAAAGGAGCAAGCAAAAGCAACAGCTTTAGGCTGTAACCGCATACTACTGACTGATTTTAAAACGTACATATTCATATGAGTAGATCATCGGAGTTAGGCCCTATAGATGAAAAGTACTAGTTGAGAACAAGTAAAGCTGACTTCTACATGAAGAGGTATACTTACAAGAGTATGAGTTTGCGACGAAACAAAAAAACATAGCCACGAAGAGCAACTTGGTTTCGATGAATTTATTAAGATAACATTGTTGGAGATACTTTGATTTCGTATGAAAGTGAATGCTGAAGAGATTTGAAAGTCAATTTCACTTTACTTCTGGTAAATTCAATTTGCCACTTCCGAAACTGTTTTATATATTTAACAAGAGGTTGCTTCTGTAAATAACCATAAATGCGCAACATCTATCCGTACTCTGGTGTCTTTAGCTTTACATCGTGGCTCATGACACTCCGATTCGCGGTGATCTTCAATTTTCCCAAAGCGGCGGCCATGCCTCAGCCATTTTCGGCTGCCAGCATTTGTCTCATCAGTACAATCTTGGTCGCGTTTTCTATCCACTCATCAGCACCGACATGTTCAACATGGACTATATTGTGCCTCCCAACTATCGATACGGAGTGCCGATCGTCAACACGCACGTAAGCGCCCTTCTGAATCCAGTTTTGGCAGGAGCTTACTACAAGACCGTCATATTGGAGCATTTATAATAGTCTCATAAACATGTCACCTATTTTATTTTAATCAACTTCTTTATTTGTAAATAATTTTCCCCTTTAATTGTCTGAATTTTAATGAATTTGACTAAATGAAGCTGGCTCTGACGAACATCGCCAGAGCAAGAAGCCATTATTCACGAACGATCACCAAAAAAACTAAACCAAAAAAAGGTGGCCATCTGAGATCCTACTTACTTCTTATACCTCACTTTGCGGTCTTAATGATACATTCCGTGATTTGGTTGGCTGACGTATGCTTGTCACACATGCATGTGAGTGGTTCAAAAAGGTGCAGACAAGGGAACGGATGTGTTCACAACTTTTGTCTATGCAAATAAACTATAGTATAATCCAGTAGTCCTGGGTCTTGTTATAGCTTTGAGGATGTGCGTTTGCGTGTGTATGGAACAACCCCGAATTAGTTGCCAACTTTAGGTTCAGAAACAAGCTCCAGCTTAATCTAGTCTTCTTCTCTAACTCAGTAGCTCTTCCTGTTCCCGTTCCTTCTCTATCTCTCATTCTATTTGGAAACCAGAAATAGTTCTGACTTAGTTTCCTACATTCATTTCCCTTATTCAGGATTTTGTTTGTTTTGTTACTTTTACTCGACTCCATGACCTTCCGCTCAGCTGTGAAGTCCCCATATCCGGCAAAACGTTGGGATTTAGACCACTCTATAGGATGCCCTGTAGCGAACACATGTTCAGTCACTTCCGATTTCCGAATCCATAAACCTTTGCAGGCGGTTCTGTGTTCTAATAGCCTCTTATGTATGGGTCGACAAGTCTCCCCCACATAGACACTATCACATGAGCACAAAACCTAATAGCAACCTGATCTGCAGAGGGCGTTGGAAGCTTCTCTAAAAGAGGGCATTATCGAGGAAAACTTTATTATTTATTTATACGCTGTCTTGACGCTCCATTTCCTCAGTAATTCGCCTTTCTCGAAAGCTTGTATGATGGTAGCATTAGGAACTTAGAATTCAATTCTC